TTGAAGGGTCCTGGGTTCGATTCCAGTCAAGGGCACATGCCCGAGTTGCGGGCCCTATCCCCAAAAGAGGGCATGCAGAAGGTAGCCGATCAATGATTCTCTCACATCATTGATGTTTCTCTCTCCTCCTGTCCTCTCTGAAATCAATAAAAACATATATTTAAAAATAATTTCAAAAAATCAGCAGCTCTGTACATTGCACACTGAATTTACTTTTGGTTCTGGCAAAATGAATCACCTTTCCAAACCTGGTCATTTCATCAGTGTTGCTTTTGTATTCTTCCCAGCTTCCACCCTTTGTCTCTCTCAGAATTCTCTATTCTTTCCTACAGTTTTCTGTTCTCTTCCATAATTTGAATCCTTTCCCACATTCTCAGTCTCTCCTAAATTCTCTCTTCCCCCTCATAATTCTCCCCTCTCTCCCACAGCCTTCCATTATCTCCCACAATTCCTTGTATCTTCCAAAGTTCCCAATCCATCCCACAATTCCACATCTCACTCACAAGGCTGTGCTCTCCCACAATTCCTGGTCTCTTCCACCCTTCTCCATGTTTTTCTACAATTTCTTGTTTTCCTTTATTTTTCTCTGTTCTTCCACACAATTCTATGATTTGATTTCATTTTCTTTCACAGTAATTCTATATTCTCTCACAGTTCTCCATTCTCTCCCAGATTTCTTCCCAAATTCCCACTTCCCCCACAATTCCAGTTACTCTCAAGATTTTGTCTCTCCTACAAATTTCTGTTTCTCAGGAGAAGCTTCCCACAATTCTCCCTTCTCTTGGATAATTCTCCATTCTTTTCCACGATTCTCTGCTTCTCCCACAATTTTCCATTCTCTTCCACAGCTCCCAGTTTCATCGTTGCCTGCCTCTCCCACAATGCTTGTGTGTTTTTTTCCTTTGATACTTCCCCCTTAATTCCTACTGCCAGAACCCTAAAGATTTCATTTTTCATTTTTCTTTTTTTAATATCTTTTTTATTTATTTCGGAGAGGAAAGGAAAGGAAGAGAGAGATAGAAACATCAAGGATAAGAGAGAATCATTGATTGGCTGCCTCCTGCATGCCCCCCTGCTGGGGATGGAGCCCAAAACCCAGGCCTGTGCCCTGACTGGTAATGGAACCATGACCTCCTGGTTCATAAGTCCATGCTCAACCACTGAGCCACACTGGCCAGCAAGACTTCATTTTCCAAACAAGGTCTAAGCTCTCCATACTTATGGATTATGGTCCCTGGATTCCAATTCTAGAAACTGGACACCTTGATGTGGTCTTCTTAGAGCTATTATTGCTTCTTAGACTTCAGGGTGAAATAATCTATTCTGTGTTTCTCTAGAAGTAAAATGCAGGAAAAAAAATCCTTAACTCTACAGCTCTAAACTCAAAACAGCATTTTTACAATATATAAAGTTTAGGCCACTGTCAAAACCCATCTTTTACTTAAAATACCAGTCCTGTCTGCCTTGGCGAACTCTAAGCTCCCTTAAAAAAAAACTTTTAAAGTCCCCAAAGTCTAGGACTATAACCTTTCTGCCACTATGATTCTCTCCAAATGTATATTTCTGGCAATTTAAACTCCAACAGCTCCCCTGAGCTGCTTTCTGCCGCTTAAATGATTGATTTTTAAATGTCAACATTTATGATGCCCAGGAGCCAACATTTGCAAAACCTTAACTATTTTTTTTTTATCAGATACAACCCACTATAACACTTAAAAGTCACTTTAATATGACTTTCCTTTGTCTTATGCCTCACTCAAAAGTAGCAGAGCTGTGGATCAGAACATTGTGGTTTGAGGCAACTTGTTATCTGCTTATATACAATTTGTGAAGATTTTCTACTTTCTAAAGATTGTTTTTATAAAATGATTCATGAAAGGAGGGATAAAACAGGGACAAACACTCATCTGTATTTTATCTTCTTCCTTCCTTGTTTCCTCAGCACCCTGAGTACTTTGTTACTACTTCTGCCATTAATTCTAATAATATATTCACATTTCTGTCACCCAGGGCAAGGGATTATATCTTATTCATCTTTGTATCCCATCAAACACAGTGTTTGGCACATGATTGGCGTGGGTACAGCGAATGTTTGTTAAAGGAATAAGTGTAAACCATGTATAAGAACTTTTTGAAATAAATGTATATGTAAAAAAGAAAGAAAAGAAAAAATAATTTTGTTTCATAACGTTTTTCTATCTTTATTCTTTAAAAAGAGGGCTCAAAAAATGTAGTTCCAATTTTATAGTCCACAGAACATCTCTCAACCAAACTTTCCCAAATTAAGTTGGAGTGATTTCGAGTAAGAGTCTTTATGTTTAAATATATTTTATTGAGTTTTCACAGAGAGAAAGGGAGAGAGTTAGAAACATCGATGAGAGAGAATCATCGATCCTCCTGCACACCACTCACTAGGGATGTGCCCGTAACCAAGGTACATGCCCTTGACCGGAATCGAACCTGGGACTTTTTAGTCCACAGGCCGACGCTCTACCCACTGAGCCAAACCAGCCAGGGCAAGAGGCTTTATGTTTAAGGCCCATCTAAACTCAGTTGCCTGGGTTTAGTTCTCACAAGTCATGGTGTAGGCTTTATGCAGGAAAAAGAAATAGACAAGCCTTGCAGGGTATGCTAAGTGATTATTACATTCAATTGAGAACAGGAAAGCAGCAAAGGATATTTACACGTGGAGCAGGAAGGAAGTGTACGAGATGGACTCAAGCCATACCTACTCCCAACAGAGACAAAAAAGAAAGGGCCCTGATGATTGAGTGCCTTAAGTTGGAAACTTAAGAATTTGGTAAAAGTCAAGGGAGCTAACATTCAGACAATGAGAGTTCATTCCCGGCCAGGGGACTTTTCTATGTAATAGTGACATTTAAAGGGTCATAGCCTCCCTTAAAAATCAGATGAAAGCCATATTGTTTCTCACCAGAACATACTTCTTTTCATGTAAAACGTTATTTGCTGTTTCTGGTGGCGAACTGACTCCAGCCCACCACCACCAGGCTATGAATCTGCTCGGAAGAATGAAATCTGGACCTAGCTTGTTTGGCTCAGTGGATAGAGCATCAGCCTGCAGACTGAAGGGTCCCAGGTTCGATTCTAGTCAAGGGCACATACCTTGGTTGCAGGTTTCCTAACTCTAGTCAGGGTGCATGCAGGAGGCAACCAGATGATGTGTCTCTCTCACACTGATGTTTTTCTCTGTCTCTCCCTCTCCTTTGTACTCTCTCTAAGAATCAATGGAAAAATATATTCTCGAGTGAGGATTGCCCCCCCCCCCCCAAAAAAAAGGAAAGAAAAAGAAATCCAGTGGCAAAATTAATTTCCAGTGAGGTCTGACTTATAAATCCATGTTCTTTCTATTAGATTGATAGATGATCATGAGATCCTTAACTGCTCTATACCTCACACTCCTCATCTGTAAAATGGTATGATAATACCTATCTTACAGGTGTCAGAATAAATCATTACTCTCTATAAAATGTCTAGTCCTTAGTAATCATCCACAAATATCAATTCCCTTTTCTTCCTCAAGGAGAAAGTAGAGAGTTCTAAGAGCTGGCAAAGTCCAAGGGGGAAATGAATTAACGTGTCATTGTTTTTTTTTTTTTCCCTTTTAATTTCACCTTAGTGATTGTCCCCCAAGAGGTCAGACTCATTACGTTAAAAAAAAAAAAAAAGACATTCTAAAAACTACATGCTGGTTGTCCAGCCCAAGTCACCAGGGAGGAGCCAAAACCGGTGTGGCTCAGTGGCTAGAGCGTCGGCCTGCAGACTCAGGGGTCCCAGGTTCGATTCTGGTCAAGGGCATGTGCCTTGGTTGCAGGCACATCCCCAGTGGGGAGTGTGCAGGAGGCAGCTGATGGATGTTTCTCTCTCATCGATATTTCCAGCTCTCTGTCCCTCTCCCTTCCTCTCTGTAAAAAATCAATAATATATATATGTATATATATGTATATATATATATATATGTGTGTGTGTATATATATATATATATATATATATATATATATATATATATATATATATATAATGGAGGAAGAGGACAGAGAGAGAGGGAAGAAGGGAGCAGGGTGAGGAGGGGAAGGAAGACTGAACATGGCTGGGATTTGGCTTCTATAGAGCTCCAAGAACACGGTCTTTGACAGGCACAGAATAAAGAAAATCAGTTTATATCTCAAGTTATGCCATCCCATACAGAATGCAGCAGTGTCTGCATTGAGAGTCTTATGCTTCATTGACTATTTTCTTGGAATGCGAAGGAACGGAAAGAAACAGACATTGATTTTTCTATCTCCCTCTCCCCCTCTTAACTCTCTGAAATCAATTTTTAAAAGAAAAAAAAAAAGACACAGGGTGTGGATGCAGGGAGGGGGTGAAGGAAGGACCAGCGATTCATTCTACTACAAGTTGTCAGAACAAAGAACATACTAAGTACCAAGTGAATTCTCTGAACTCATCGAGCATTCGTGTTTCTGCATTAATTTCCGCTGGTGACTACATTACTGTATCCCCTGGCGGTCCCACTTGAGTAACTGTCGCAGCTGAGCTTGGCAGGCCGCTTGGCAAAGGAAGGGGTTGCACCGTGCAGCTGTAGCAGCCTGTGGCTTGCAGGTTTTGGAGAAAACTCTGCAGCGTGAAAGTCAGACAAAGGCTGAAGCATCATTCGGAACCCCATCCTTCATTCCTGCTTCGACCTTTCAGGCAAATTCTTAAATCCCCCAGCACAGGTATCAATGGAAGCTGCCCCAGGTCTGAAATAGACGGTGACCCAACTAGAGTGAAGCAAACTGAGTCGGGTAAGTTTCTTGGTGAACTTAGCTCGGAGGATGCCCATGGGGGGGGGGGTGAGGGGGGCGCTGGAGGCGGGTCCCAGCCAGATGTGCATGGCCCCCCCTTCACCCTCAGAGGAGCCTGAGAGGTTGGCCAGGGCGCCCCCACCTCTCCAGAGCCCATGAGCGCCCCCAACCGCAGGGCCGCGCGGGGGAGGAGCAGGAGAGAGGAGGCTGTGCCAGTCCCGCGCCCTCCCAGGGGGCCGGAGGAGGAGGCAGGCGACAGCTGCAGGCCTGGCGGGAAGATGCGGTGGCCCTGGGCCCTTGCGCTGCCGCTGCTGCTCCCCTGGATGGCAGGTGGACTGGAGAAGGTGGCCAGGTGAGTGGCTGGCGATCGCCCTGGCTTGAGCGCCCCATGGGGCCCCTACTCTTTGTCCCCGTCCCTCCTGGCACCCCCCCCAGGGGGGCGGGTGTGCGCGTGCTGAGACAGGATTTAACCAGGATGTCAGTTCCGGAGCCACCAAGGCTTCGGCTTCGCTCCAGCTCCCTTTGCATGGAGGCACCCACCTGACGTCCAGTGGGTCCCGGAGGAGGGAGGCTCTCCGCACCCCGAGGGCGCGTACGGGCTTCACGATCTGCAGGCAGCTGTGGGGCCACGCATGAGGGTCTGTCCATGGGCGGGCAGCTTCTGTGCCTGTGTAGTTTTGTGTTTGCCACTCTCTCTGACCGGTACCAACGGATTGCCAGTCGCTAGTTTTGGTGGGGGAGAAGGGAGAGAAATGGGGAGGACGGGGACTTTGGGGGCTGAGCCCTCCGGGAAGGGGGTTCCCACGCGGTGGCTTTCTCCTTAGGGTTGGTGAACTGGAAAGAAGGAACATGGGTGTGAATGAAACGGACTCATTCTTCTTGCGGTGGCAGTTCAGAATCTGAAGCTGTTTCTTTGCTGCCCAGAAGCTTCTCCAAGCCCCAAGACTTGCTTTTGCAGAGATCAGCAGAGATCTAGGAAAGACACACGTATATAGTGCTCCCTGCAGCCTGGCACTGTTCAAAACACCCATGTAAAGCCCCATAATGGCCCTAGCTGGTGTGGTTCAGTGGGTAGCGCATTGGCCTGGGGACTTGAAGGGTCCCGGGTTTGATTCTGATCAAGGGCACATGCTCTGGTTGTGGGCTCGATCTCCAGTGGGGGGCGTGCAGGAGGCAGCGATCAAAGATTCTCTCTCTCTCTCTCTCTCTCTCTCTCTCTCTCTCTCTCTCTCTCTCATCATTGATGTTTCTATCTCTCTCCCTCTCCCTTCCTCTCTGAAATCAATAAAACTATATTTTTAGAAATGAAATAAAGCCCCATAACTATTCAGTTGTAGAGGAGAAACATGAGGTACAGACAGGGCGGTAAATGCACAAGAAGCAACAGCCAATAAGGGGTTTCCCGGGCATTCAGACAGGGCCAGTCTGGCCCAGAGTCCTTGCGCCCCCAAAAGGGCAGCCTTTTGGGGATCACTCACTGGGAACAGAGTCCTTGTTCCCTGGCTGCGACATCTTGCTTTCCGAGGTGTCCCTAAGCCGGGCTTCTCCACTGTGGGACTGGTGCCCCATGGAGCTGGGTGGACCGTGTTTATGTGGTAGAGAGGCTGTTATGTGTGTTGTAGGATTTTTAGCAGAAGCACCTGTGGCACTTCTAACCACCAGATGCCGCAGCAAACTTCCCTCGTTTAGTTGTGACCTTCCCTAGCTATAACAACCAAAAAATCTCCCTGGACGTGTCCAAGGTCCCCTGCTGAATTACCTCCAGCTGAGTGAGAACCACTTCACTGTTGAGATTTTTTTTTAATATGTTTTTATTGATTTCAGAGAGGAAGGGAGAGAGAGAGAGAGATAGAAACATCAATGATGAGAGAGGACCATTGATTGGCTGCCTCCTGCACGCCCCATGCTGGAGATCAAGCCGGCAACCCTGGTATGTGCCCTGACTGGGAATTGAACTGTGACCTTCTGGATCATGGGTCGATGCTCAACCACTGAGCCACACCAGCCAGGCTTGGGATTTTTTTCGTGGACATTTCCTGGGCAGAGCAGGCTGGGAGCCTTGCTTTGGTGCGGGCTGCTTTAAGGTGAGCCTGTCTGTCTGACTTTGAGGGGGAAAAACTTTCATCAGAGTCTGCCACGGTATTAAGGGATTTTGAAGTTCAGAGAACAGACCTCAAATCAGGTTTTTAGAATGTATGGTCACAAGTTTCAATTTCCTTTTCGGGATAAAAATGTGGGCAGATGTAATTTGTTCATAGACACATTGTCCTGGAACTGCTCGGGTCTTTTATTGCTAGAAAGCCCGCTTTGGGAAGACCAAGGTCTCTTGGGAGATGAGAGAACTAGTTCCCTAGCAACCAGCAACCCGACCCCTAAAAGTGTCACTCTCAAAGTGCCACCAAATTAAAGGCAAAGCTGAAAAGCCCCCAAAGAAGCCAAAGAATATGAAAATGGAGAAGCTGTGGAGGATTCTGCAGTTTTCAAGATGTGAAACATGGTTTCCTTACCCGTATCAGGTTCACCAGCGGGCGTGTTTATTATCTCCTCAGCATGCTTGGCAATGGCCAGTGGTCAGCTATTCAAGAACTGCTGGGGGCCGTGGTTAATCAACTCCAGACTCTGCGTTACAGAGACACACTAAAACAAAAAGCCAGGCATTCCCTGCAGAAAAGTATGCTCTTTTTAAAAAATATTTTTATCGATTTCAGAAAGGAAGGGAGAGGAAGAGAGAGAGATAGAAACATCAATGATGAGACAGAACCATTGATCGGCTGCCCCCTGCACACCCCCCACTGGGGATCAAGCCCACAGCCTGGGAATGTGCCCTTGACCAGAATTAAACCCAGGACCCTTCAGTCTGCAATCTGACGCTCTACCACTGAGCCAAACCAGCCAGGGCATGATTATTTTCTGAGGTTTCACACTTATAGCAAAAATTATCCCTGCTGCCGAAACCAGTTTGGCTCAGTGGTAGGGCGTCAGTATGCGGACTGAAAGGTCCTGGGTTCGATTCCGCTCAAGGGCATGCATGTCAGTTGCAGGCACATCCCCTGTGGGGAGTGTGCAGGAGGCGGCTGGCCGATGTTTCTCTCTCATCGATGTTTCTGGCTCTCTATCTCTCTCCCTTCCTCTCTGTAAAAAATCAATAAAATATATTTTTTTTAAATGGAAAAAAATTATCCCTGCTATAGAGAAATTTCTAATATAATCACCAGTTTTTATTTAATTGGAAATCTGCACCATAACTTTAGTGACCTAGAAAATGATATGCCTCTTAAATAATACTTAACACATAGTAAACAATTAACACTTAACCAGTAAGTAAATCATTAGCAGCATATGTTTCCATAGTTTTAAGCATCGATATTTCACTTGAACCGCAGACTTTTCTATACCCTTTGGGCATTGGATATAGATGCTCTAGACGTGCTTTGCCCATTCCTAGATCTCCCAAACTCCCCTGCTTCTACTATAATTCTCCATTCTCTCCCATAGTACTCTGCTGCCCCCATAATCCCATTTTCTCCCATAATCTCATTCTTTCCCATAGTTGCCTGCTTCTCCCATAATCTCAGTCACTCCCATAAAGTTCTCTACCATGGTATTGTGTTGCTCCCATAATTTCATTCTCTCCCACAATCCCATTTTTCCCCATAGTTAATTGCTTCTCCCATAATTCCATTCTCTCCTGTTGTCCTCTGCTGCTCCCATAATCCTATTCTCTTCCATAGTACTCTGCTGCTCCCATAAACCCATCCCCTCCCACAGTTCCCTGCTTCTCCCATAATCCCATTCTTTCCCATAGTTACCTGCATCTTTCATAATCCCATTTGTCCTATAGTTCCCTGCTTCTCCCATAATTCTCTTTTTACTTTTACATAGTCCCATTTATTTATTTACTCCTTTGTTTCCCTTGCCCTGGGAGATGTATCAGCAAACAATGAGAGTTGTCTGAGATTCTGCTGCCTATGGTTTCTTCTAGGATTTTTATGTTTTCACAACTTACATTTAAGTATTTTATCCATTTTGAGGTTATTCTTGTGTATGGTGTAAATTGGTGGTGGTTTTATTTTTTTGCATGTTATCTGTCCAATTTTCCCAACACCATTTATTGAAGAGACTGTCTTGATGCCATTATATGCTCTTGCCTTCTTTGTCAAATACTAATTAAGTGTAATGACTTGAGTCAATTTCTGGGTTCTCTGTTCTGTTCTATTGATCTATATGCTAGGCTGTTTTGATTACAGTGGCCTTATACTATAACTTGATATCTGGTGTTGTGATCCCTCCAACTTTGTTCTTTCTCAAGATTGCTGTGGCTATTCAGAGTCTTTTTTTGGGGGGAGGGGGGTTCTATATAAATTTTTGGAGTATTTTGTTTTAAAGTTGGGAAATATACCATTTAATAGGGATTGCATTGAATCTATAGATTGCTTTGATTAGTATGGACATTTTAATGATGTTAGTTCTACCAATCCATGAACACTGTATATTCTTCCACTTGTTTATATCTTCCTCTATCTCTTTTTTCAACATCCTGTAGTTTTTCAAGTACAAGTCTTTTACCTCCTTGGTTAATTTTATCCCTATGTATCTTAATTTTTTTTGTTGCATTGGTAAATGGGATTATTATTATTTTTTGTTGTTGTTTGTTTCTCTTTCTGAGAATTCATCTTTGGTGTATAAAAATGCCATCAATTTCTGGGTGTTTTTTGTTTTGTTTTTTTATTTTATTTTATTTTTTTATCCTGTGACATTGCCGAATTCATTTATGAAATCTAGTAGTTTTTTGGTGGGTCATTAGGGTTTTCTATGTATAGTATCATGTCATCTGTAAATAAGATAGTTTTACTTCCTCCTTTCCAATTTTGAAGCTTTTTATTTTTTCTTCTTGTCTGATTGCTCTGGCTAAGACTTCCAGGACTATGTTGAATAAGAGTGGTGAAAATAGAAGAAAAATTGCTCAAAATCACTAATCATCAGAGAGATGCAAATTAAAACGACAATGAGGTACCACCTGTCAACAAATGACAAGTGCCAGTGAGGATGCAGAGAAAAGAGAATCCTAGTACACTGCTGGTGGGAATGCATACTGGTGCAGCTATTATGGAAAACAGTATGGAATTTCCTTAAAAATTTTTTTAAATGGAACTGCCATTTGACCCAGTGATCCCACTTCTAAGAATATATCCTAAGAAACTCGAAACACCAATCAGAAAGAATGTATGCATTCCTATGTTCATTGCAGTGCAATTTACAATAGCTAAGATCTGGAAACAGCCCAAGTGCCCATCCGCAGCTGAGTGGATTAAGAAGCTGTAGTACATTTACACAATGGAATACTATGCAGCA